CTACTGTAGCCAAAGCACAATAAACTCATTTATTATATATATATATATATATATATATATATATATATGAATAATATTTCAAAATACATATTTCAATACATCACATCATTGACCCATTGATTACTGTCATTTCCAGGCCCCCAAAACGATCCAAAGCCAGCCCAGGAGTTTATTCTTAAGATGTACCAGGAGCAAAACGAAGACAAAGACAAATCCATCTACTCTCACTTCACTTGTGCCACCGACACGGAGAACATCCGCTTGATCTTCGCAGCTGTGAAAGACACCATCCTCAGACACAACCTCAAAGAGTTCAACCTGGTTTAAAATCAACATCCTGGAGGACAAACCTGGTCCTGCTCTCTTCTGTTGATCTGTTGAGTAGATTTAGCTCTCACATTAGCTTAACATGGTTCTATTGTTGACTAAGGACTTATATAAGGAAGTATCTAGGAGAACTGCCTAATGGATTAGATGTGGACTGGCTTCCTGAAAACGAGCCTTGATCTACCATTACAAGGATGAATCTTCTTTTCAGTCGTGTTTAGGTCCTCTGATAGATGGGTAGGTTTCATCGACAACAGATGTTGTCATTTTGTTCATTATGTGAGTAGAGTTTACAAGGGAGGCTACTTAGGAGATTTTAAGGCACATGTAAAAAATTTTTCCTGATGTAATAGATCAAAGTCTTGAAGACTCCTTAAAGCGTTTAAAGGCAAAAAAGATGGAGAAGTTTACATTTTAATATAAAAACTTGGATTTTTTGTTTTTTTTAACAAACATGCTCTAAAGTTGCCTTATGTAGTTGTAACGCAAACCTGAATCATGATTATGCATTTGTAGAAATTAAAGGTATGAATTGAATTCAGATATATTTTTTATTTTATTATTATTTCTCAATGTAAAAATAATTTACTAGCCATTTTAAACTGGTGTTTCAGTGTCAAATTGTACATTGTAAAGGATATTTATCATTTTAAACATGCATATTCCTTAAAAAAAATCTTGATTTCTCACAGAAAATTCAGTCACGAGGCAAATTCAGAAAGTTTTCGCATTTTACGCAGCCACTGATTTCCGAGTTTCATTATTTGACCTCAGTTTCGTAGCAGGTACAAGCTGTAGTGAATACCTGAAGTGCCTTTAAACTGTAATGTCTGTATCTGCTTTGATAATATTTATTAAACAAGGATATACAGCTATATGTTGTTACTCATTCAAATTTAAATAAAACAATCAAACGAAATTCAAAATACATTTATTAAATGTGCATAATTAGAGATGACAAGAAAATGATGCAATAAATGTTCATGCTTTATAGTCAACATGTAATGACATTCCCAGTTCAGTTTTACCTCACTAACATGATGCATTTCCAATTGAAAATAACCGTATGATAAAACTGTAGAATGAGAGTATGCAGTTGCATGTGGAAAAAATGCACATTTAGTCCGATCAGTCATATTTATTCGATAACTGGGAACTTGATGTTAGCTCTATCGCTATTTGCTTTTATTGCTATAACCTTTATTAATGTTAAAGAAGTTCACACAAAATTGAAATTTTGCTGAAAAAGTGCTCATCCTCAGGCAATCCAAGATGTAGATGAGTTTCTTCATCAGAGCAGATTTGGAGAAATGTAGCATTACATCACTTGCTCAGCAATGGATGCTCTGCAGTGAATGGGTGCCGTCAGAATGAGAGTCCAAACAGCTGATAAAAACATCACAATAATCCACACCACTCCAGTCTTGGGAAGTGAAAAGATGCGTGTTTGTAAGAAACAAATCCATCATTAACTTCAAACTAGTCCATAATCCATAATATTGCTTTCTCCAGTGAAAGAGTCATCTCGTCTGAATCAGGAGAGAAATATGCACAGATCAAGCACTGATTGCAAGCCAAAACAGTCTAAAACAGTTCTGAACAAATATGTCAGTTTTGATGTTTGAGGACAACAGGGATGGACTTTTTCACCGGAGGAAACATTATGGATTATACTCATATTTTGGCCAGAAGTTACGGTTTAAAAGTTAAAACGCCTAAATGATGGATTTGTTTCTTACAAAGACGCATCTTTTCACTTGACAAGATGTTAACTGATGAACTGGAGTGGTGTGGATTACTGTGATGTTTTTATCAGCTGTTTGGACTCTCATTCTGACGGCACCCATTCACTGCAGAGGCTGAGGCATTGCTGAGCAAGTAGATAGTATGCTTAATTTCTCCAAATCTGCCCCCATGAAGTAACAAACATCTACATCTATTTTAGTGGTTTGCATCATTCACAGGTTGCCCAAGGCATCCCGACATCAGGATCAATAAATAGTGTCAGTTTTGATTTCATATCGACTTTAATGTCAATTCACTGACATTCATTAAGAAAATGGACAACAATAGCTTTACTGGAAAGCTAAAAATAAACAGTTGCATATTTGTGTTATGTTACAGTTCTTCAGTAATGCAGTGCGGCTGCATAGAGACATAAAGCAGTCGAGAAGCCATCAAATGTTTACTGTTGAGTATTGAGACAAGCTATAGAATTAATTAAACAGACACTGTGAAACAAAAATATCATTTCATGCAAAGCCACATATTTAAAAAAAAATCCCTGCTCTCCTGTACATACAGCAAGAGATTCCCATTTTCAAACATTCCTGGTCATTTCGGTTTAAATGCGACACACATTCATATGTAAAGACAAAGAAAATACATACAGTGTATTGGTCTTTATTAATGTGTATAAAATGTACCTTAATTTTAATCACCTTAATTTACACTTTAGTGTGGCTTTAGTTAAGAGACATCTTTCCAGTCGCTGGACTGCATGTAGAGGCACACTGTAAAAACTTAATATGTAAATGTGTTCAAGCAAATAAGGAATTATGACAGATTGAGCTCAGACAGTGAGGGGGAAAGAAAGGTACAATATAATGTAAACTGAACACACAAACACACAGTCTAACAGTCACTACCAATGTGGTATTCAGTGTTTAGTGAATGACTGTTGCATTGTGGGTATAATGTGAAGTGGCACACTGCAAAAGCAGCATAAAGGCACACAGCTGAGCGCAGGATCATCGCATGTCGCTTTAACTGTCCTTACTTCGGCAGAGTTTCCCTGGCATCCTCAAGCTTGGCAAGAACCCACTGAGAACGACAGAAACAGGTCATTAAATGAATGCATGGCTAGAAACCTTTACAGGATATTTTATCTACAGAAATCATATATGTGCTAAACAAATCTTTTGTGATAAAATATGGCTCTTAAACTCTTGTGTACTGTCTGAGTCTTTCAAAGGTATGGTTCACCCAAAAATGCTAATTCTGTCATCATTTACTTAACCTTCAAGTTGTTCCAAACCTGTACGAGTTTCTATCTTCGTCTGAACGCAAAGGAATATATTTTGAAGAATGTTAGTAACCAAACAGTTGTTGGTCCCCATTGACTTCCATAGTATTTTATTTACATAGTCAATGGGGACCAGCAATTTTTTGGTTAATAACATGCTTCAAAATGTATTCTTGGAACAACTTGAAGGTTAAGGAATTTGCATTTTTGGGTGAACTATCCCTTTGAAATCCCCTTCTGTGCATAAATGACAATTTCTGCCTAAACACTCATTGTGCTCCTTGTTACAAAAGGTTAAGATAAGAGTTCATGAACCCACTTCCACTATTTGTTTACAGCAGCAAAAATGTGCACCTGTACCTTTGCTAGTTCTGGAGTTTTGAAATTGATGATCTTCCCAAACTCTTTGGCATGAAACACCGATTTGACTCGTTCCTGTGAAAATCAAAACAAGATCAATGATATTTTCCATCATAATTAAAGAAATCCTTGCTCAGGTTTAAACATGTCAGGCCATGATATTATTCGTTTTAGTATTTCGTATTTTTAATGCTTTGTCCTCATGGCTTTGCTTACATCATTAGAAAAAAAAAGTCCTTTCAGAAGTGGAGAAACTTAATCAAGTTTTAGGGTTAGTACCTAGTTATTATAATGTAAGTACATACTATATACATGTACAACAGGACTATAAAATAAAGTGCTAAACATAAACATTTAGAATAACATGCACAATAAGACCAGCATTCGATTTAGATTAAATACAGATAAAACTCTGTTATGTATGATGATGTACCTTTGCTTCTATACGCAGTCTCCTGCCCTCCACGATCATGGGTGCTTTGGTAAACTCATCAAACAGATACTGCCACTCGCACGTCAGCTGCCCGAACGTGCCCTTAGTCACAAAAAATATCCCCCTGCAAGAGCAAAATCACACAGACACCAGCTGAAAAGCTGAAAATTCAATAAAAAGGCCAGTAAATACTGTAGCACATAACTTGAATAACTAGGATAGAATACTGTAGCACATATATAACCAATTACATGCAAAATGATGTAGTTCTTAGAAATTGCATGCATTTTTTTTTTTGCTGCCTTATCACTGTTTGCTCAAGTAATCCTCAAAAAGACACAATTTGGTGCAATATGGGAAAAAATGTCACATTTCTGCTGAGTCTGAACGAGTCGACAGTGACACTAGCTGCCAAAAGTAAGTATCAAGTAGAGTATGATGGGCACAGATTTTCAGTTTCACCTTCAAACAAGTTTGATACTTTGATTCGATTTTAAGACATTTGGTTTTCATTCGTCACGTCTCTTAGCAACGAGGTGCATGTTTCTGTGCGAGTCTGTTGTGTTCAGAACGACTTGAAAGTCTGTTACAGTTTTTAACATGAGTATAATATATATAGTGTATATTTTCTCTGTAACCATTTACATGATGCCTAGTGTTTTAAAATCAGATTTTAAAAATCATGTAGTGTATTCCAGCCTTTAATAAGTTTAATATATGGGAATATGGTAAAGTTTTATGTGCCTAAATTGAATAATTGGGGGTAGGGATTTTTTTGAGATTCACACGTTTTTGTTGATTAAAATCATTTTCACTGAAAACTATGCTTACATGTAAATCAACATGTGTGCAAGCTATTTTTGAGTCCAATAATAGTTGCAATCAAAGGTTTACATAGCTAAAATATTAAGATATACACCAGCCCTTTAATCGGATGTTCACATGAAGGCTTTATAAGCAGATTGTAAGGATGCCTGTGAACACAAATTCATCGCCTAAAAGGTTTGAAGCAAAACAGCCGTGACATGCTTAATGCTACTGTACTAGTAATGCATGGTTAAAACCGAAATGCCCCTTCATCTAAATGTGCTCATGTGACATTGCCCATGCAAAATGAGGGGTTTATATAATTCACCTACCTTTTAGTGATCATCAGGAAATCTGATTCGTTCACCTTAGCATGAGCAAAGTATCTGTACTTGGCAAACCGTCCATTTTCAATATTCTACAAACCAAATGGAGAAACCAATTAATAAAAAAAAGCACAATCCGGTGAACTTCTACGATCAAATCTTTTCTGGCCATCACAATCCTGAAATATGGACCTGAAAAACAGTGATGGAGTGAGTGTAAAGACACAAGGACTGATGAAAAGATCAACAGTGGCAGCAAAATGTAAAAATCATCTACTCATCTTCATATACGTTGAACTAGTTTTGTGATTCTTAAAACCATTTTTAATTGTGCAAAAATGTAGTTCTAAAGCACTTTCACATCGCCTATAGTTCTGACTGGTGTATTTGAACGAGTTCTGGATGCAAGAATGCAAATTTCCAAAATTTTCCTAGGAAAAACACTAGTTTAATGCAAAACTTAAGCAAAGGTTTAGTCACGACGTTTTCTAAAGAGACTAAAGTCTCAGTACACACCCCTGCTGCTGCGTACCTTGTGTCTATAAATCAATGAAATGCGATGTCATTTGCAATGCATTGTGGGATTGATGGGTGTGGAATGGGTTAATGATGAAAAATGCACTTGGAAACAGACTTTATTCAGGAAAATGACAGATGAAGGGTTGGGACAACAAATCAGAAGGAATAAAAGCAAAATAATTCCTAATCATAAAACAGCAATATTTACATTTCAAATAGATTAACCACTCTATGACTAGATGCTAACTGAACTACTTACACATAGTAAATTATTCTGATTTTAGATGCAAGTTACACAAACAGACTGAAGATTTAATGAAAAGCACTTCTATTCTATAATGAAAAGGACACATTTTCCTCATCCTCATCAGTGTCAGTGCTATTCATCTGAGAGAGGGCCGTTCTGCTCT